CCCGTTACCTGCGGGACATCATCGAACAGCCGCTGAGCAAAGTGAGGGAGCACGTCGTCCACCGACTTCCCGTTGCCAAACTGGATGACCGTGCCCGTGGACTCGATGACGGCCACACGGACCTTCCAGTGCTGGTGCGAGATGCTCTGCATCAGGGGGCCGATCAGAGACTCGGACTGCATGTGGAAGTGGTCTGCGGGGCGGGGAGGCCTGTGAGTGGGCTGCTCCGTGGGCCGCAGCCCCTGCCCAGTACGTGGACCCCCAGGACAGGCCACTGCCCCTGGGGCCTTCCCTCCCCCACCAAGGTCCCTGCTGCAGGAGCAGGCCGGTGACCCAGCAGCACCTCTCCGACCCAGGCTTGGGGGCCAAGGGGAAAAGGCTGGGGCTTGAGCCCCTCAGCTGAAGATGGGGGCTGGGGGGAGAGCCTGAGGATGCCAATAGAAAGAAACTGAGCCAGGAAGACCCTGCCCCAGCCCCCACCCAGCTGTGCCCAAGGCAGACCCCCAGCCCTGCTGTGGGACTCAGCACTGGAAGGGTCTTCAGTACAGCCAGGCCGAGCCCGGCCAGTGGGGCTCAGGGGTTGAGCACTGACCTATGAGCCAGGAGTTCACAGTTGGATTCCTGGTCAGGGCACAGGCCTGGGTTGCAGACTCCATCCCCAGTGGGGGGTGTGCAGGAGGCAGCCAATCAATGGTTCTCTCTCATCACTGATGTTTCCTTATTAGGTAACATTCCCAGATCCCAGGGATTAACACCAGGATATCTCTGTGGCATCATTACTCAAGTTCTGGAACCAGCCTTCCAGTCCTGACACACACACACACACACACACACACACGACAGCCAGGCCGGCCCTCTGGGTCTCTGGCCTCAGTCCTGCCGCTGCTGGAGGCCTGTCTACAGGTCATTATCTCTGTGGTACTTTGAGCGAGTTCTTGGTCTACTGCTGCCCAGTGACCGGGATCCACAGGAGAGGGCCCCCCAGGTGGGTGGGCAGAGGGGATGGTGTGGAGTTGGGGGGGAGCACCTCCTCCAGGCAGGCACGACCGTGCTCTGTGCTGGCGCAGCCAGGTGCGGCCGCCCTTCTGGAACCTACAGTCCATCAGGGAACGGCCCCAAGGCTGGGAAGCACAAAGCAGGTCATCGGGCTGGTGGCACAGGGAGCGAGGCGGTCGAGGGTGACGAGAAATGCATTAACAGCGGGATGCCACCGGCCATCTCCCGTCCAAGTCCAGCCGCTCCCCAGCCCCGCTGGGATCTGCACCATCTGAATCCAATCTTGACCTGACATGACCCTACGCCCGGCTCTTCCTTCGTCTCCCGTCCACCCAAACCTCCTCGCCCCTGGCCCTCAGTGATTCACAGGGAAGTCCGCCAGCTGGAGCTTCAGCGCCCGTCTGCTCCCTTCATCTCCACGGGCAGACTGCCCTGCCCAGCCCAGGCCCGGGGCCCCTAAGTACGGACTGGGGATGGCCCCTAACGGGCGCCCTTCCCTCCACGGCCATCCCTGTAACCCCTCCCCACCACACCCCTGCTCCACACCTCCCCCGGCTCCCACTGC